CAGAACAGGCAGATCGACGAAGTACACTGCTGAGGGAAGCAGCGGGCGGGCCAGGAGAGGTCTGCCATGCCATGTGGTCACCTCCGGGGCAGGCGGGAATCGGACTTACGCGGAAGTGGCTTTAGCTTCTGGGTGCTGTGCTTCAACCCGCTGCGCCACCAGGGAGGGCCATGAGCAAATTTTTATAATTTTGAAACCTATAATTTGAAAAATTAATACTAAGACTACTATGTACTTAAAAAAGAAAAGGAAGTCAGAGGATAATATTTGAAAGGAAGGCATGTAAAAATCAAATAAGAACTATTCCACACTTTTGGAAAATAGGACTGAAGTAGAAAAGAAACTGTACAGTTAGTGCTAGCTACCTCACTGTAGGACGAGTTGAACAACAGAGCATGGAAAAGAAGAATAAACAAGGGACACTGTTAAAGATCTCTTTGTAAATATCTCCCCCATTTATTCTACCAATTGGATGTTAACTTTGCTATTAAAGCCCTTTTACCAAGTGTGATTATATTTGGAGTGTAGTGTTAAACTTAATACTTTACTGTGAGTTACTATATATAGACTGTCTACAACTTAAGTTTTTGGAGAGTGAAAATAATTTTTTTAAAGATTTATTTATTTATGCATGCAGAATTGGGGTACAGGTCAGAGGTGCAGGGGCTGTAAGAGGATTCACCAGAGACAGAGTGGGGAGCATGCTGAACAGTCAGATCCACGAAGTACACTGCTGAGGGGAGCAGCGGGCACGTCAGGAGAGGTCTGCAGCGCCATGTGGGTCACCTCCCAGGTGGGGATCGAACTCATGATGAAGTGGCTTTAGCTTCTTAGTACTGTGCTTGTAACCCTCTGCACCACCAGGGAGTATGGTGCCTGAATGTAAATTTTAACTTGGCATTTTGATTGATGCATGGAACACTTCAGAGTAAAACTAAATTCTCTGGACAGTTTAAGGATAAAAACGACTGAGAAATGTATATGATTAGACACTAAGAAAGGGCTGAGAAAAGGAAGTGAAAAAACATCTACTTTACAATTTTGCCACCGAAAAATAAGAGGTTATGACTTAACGGTCTCAAAGTTTCCTTTCCGTTCTATTATTCTACCGGGGCCACCATGCAAAAAGTGAATTATTTACATACCAAATCATAATATGCTATATTTTCCTCCTGGCTCTACACCAACCAGCTATTAAAGTAGAGCTTCCTTTTCCGCCTCAACAACACAAAAGCGAGTAAATTATCAAAAGGAGTTCCAGAGAACAACCAAATGGAGAAATCATAGGGAGGTAAACTTAAAGAAACTGGCAACACACTAATAGTTTGTGATCAGTATTTGATAACTGATGCAATGAAATCAGGGATTCCAAAGAGACACAAATTACTGGAATAGTTTACAATCTCGCCCTTGGAACATACTAAAGAACATTCATTATCAAGGGCAAAATAAGAAAAAAGAGAATATTTCTCCACCAACCTCAAGGTTTTTCCTTTTCTGCATAACAATACTGTTTTTGCTCCCTTCCATTTGTCACCTTATTGTTTTCCTTTCCAACTCTGCCCCAAGCACCAGTCACATCTGTCTTCAAAATGACCCCTAAGGACCTTCTTCAACAAAGTTTCCCTTTCTGTCTACTGGTGTCATCCAAATACCTCCGCGCAGATAAACTCAAACCTGCTCAACTCCGCCTTCTCCCAACAATTCCCTAGGACCCCAAAGAAGACAGCGGATCGCGCTGGCCACCCCATTGCCCAGCAGAGTAAGGAGGCCTGGGGGAACATAACTCAGAGAGGTTTGTGCCATCCACACCTCTAAAATCAATGCCCGCATTATCTCCCTCCTCCCAGGCCCCTCACTATACACGGCGCCCCAGTAATCCACACTTACAGCGCACAGTATGGAAGGCGCAGCGGGGCTTCTTCTCGAAGCTGTCGCCTAATTTGAGAACCCGCTCGCGATTATCAATGTGCCAGGGTCCCACTGCTCCAGTCATCTTTATCTTGGGGTTCAGGCTTTGCTTCGGTCACCGACGCTCACGATCTTCTGCCACCTCAGCCCAAAGCAGCTGCATTTGCAGCCGCGGGAGCAGTCACCGCGGCCTCCGCCCCTCTCGCGAGCTGATTGGCTACTTTCTGAGGGGCCCCGCCCCTTGGCTCCGAGGCCCTCGGTCCCTCCTCCAGACCTCTTTTCACGCCGCGACGCACGCAGCGCTGGGAAAGACGCTCGTGGAGGAGCGAACCGAGAGCTGGGTCTTCGGGTGGAGGAACGCCGAGTGAGAATGAGGTAACGGACCTGAGGTGGCGGCTGAAGAAGGGGAGGACGCAGAGCCCAGCGCGTAGGAGCTCTTAATGGGAGTGTTGGCCTCCTCCTCGTCCTGTGGCGATTTGTTGTGGAAACTGAGGCTGGGGCGGGACGGAGTTTGAGCGCGCGGCCTGGTTTCTTGCCCTAGGCCTCGTTGCGCCAAACGTGGGTCTAGAATGAGAAGAGTCGGCGGCCTCAGAGTCTGGGTCTTGGTCTTGACCGGAGGCGCCGCTGTTACCTTAGGCACTCGTTTTCTGACTTAAGGCAGCTAGGGACATTCGCAGCGGTACTGAAGCCAGGACACTGAGGAAAAGGCGGGGAGGGAACGGGGGATGGGAGAGAGATTCAGATTTAGCCACTGCCCATGTTTAGGGTCGGTTGCTACTGGATTGCACTGGGGTACCCTCTTTCATTTGTTTCCTTCGTAGTGATCCGTGGAGCCTGTAAACGGAACTGCCAAGACTAGATTCCCAAAGGCGCAAAGCCGGAACTCATGCACTGATAGTGGGGTAATAATATTGATCATTCAAACAATACGTCTTTTATTTAGTTAAGAATTTATGAGTTTAGTAGTAAAGATGAACCAAGTGTTTTAGGAGCGGAGAAACAATCTAGAGAAAGTTTACAAAGGAATGCCCTTAACAGGAGGTTGTATTTTAGGGTAATTCTGTAATCACACTGCTCGCTGGCCCACCATAGTCAAATTTGTCAGTTGAGGGCTTCAAGCTGGTAGAGGAGTGTCTTCCACAGCTTATCTGTTTGTCAGAATTCTCCTTTTTCAAGGCCTTCTGACCCTTTTTTTTTTTAAATAGAGAACTCAGGTTCTGAAGCCAGAATCCATTGAGTTTGACCCCCGATATCCTAACTTTGCAAACCGAAGTTAGGTGTACTCATTGTTGAAAATGGGGAAGAAATGCCTTAGAGTTGTTGAACTAAATGAATTAATACGTGAAAGCACTTAAAACAAGTCATGGCACAAAATGAAAGTTCTTTAGGCTTAATTCTTTTTATACTGTTGTATAGCATTGTAGGACCACCCTGGGGCTGACTTCTCAATCCGGAGTTATTTGTCCATCCTTGTCTGCTGTTAAAAACAAAAAAGAGATTTAGGGAAGCCATTCCTTTGACTTTGTGGTCCATATTCTTATAATTTGTTTTCTATTTGCATTTGATATATTACGTATATGTATGTGTAATTTTTGTTCCCTACTAGAACGAAAACAGGGACTTGTCCTATATAAAAATCTTTGTGAGGGCCCTCCCTGGTGGCGCAGCGGGTTAAAGCACTGCACTAAGAAGCTTAAGCCACTTTCGCATGAGTTCGATCCCGCCTGCCCCGGACGTGACCACATGGCGTGACCACATGGCGCGGTAGACCTCTCCTGACCCGCCCGCTGCTCCCCTCAGCAGTGTACTTGGTCGATCTACCTGTTCTGCTCCCCCACTCTGTCCTGGTGAATCCTCTCACCCTCCACATCTCTGGCCTGTACCCCAGTTCTGTATGAATAAATAAATAACTCTAAAAAAAAAAAAACTTTGTGAGCCTTACATCTAATGTAGTTCCCTACACATGTTAGGTGATAAGTTAATGTTTTAGTGATATTTTATTATGGTAGCCAGATAGTAAGCAGTGTTTTAAGTCTATTTTAAAAGGCTTCCAACCAGAAAACCATATTGGAATGAAGAGAAAATCAGAAAATCTAGAAACTGAGTTTTAGAATGCTCAAAATTCGTGCACTTATTCACTACTTCCACGTACATATTTTTGAAGATTTATTTATGCATACAGAAGTGGGGTACAAGCCAGAGGTGCGGGGCTACGGGTAGAGGATTCACCAGAGACAGTGGGGAGCAGAACAGGCAGATTGATGAAGTGCACTCCTGAGGGGAGCAGCAGGCATGGCAGGAGAGATCTGCCACACCATGTGAGTCACCTCTGGGCCAGGGATCGAACTCAGACACTGAAGTGGCTGATGCTCATTTGCAGTGCTGTACTTTAACCCACTTTGCTACCAAGGAGGGCCCCTTCCACATATATTTAAGTACATATCACATGCTAAACTCTAGTCTGGCCTCTAGGAATATATCAGAACCTGAGAGAGAAGGCAGCAGCTAAAAGAATAGTATGGATTTTGCCCTTGTAAAGATTCCTTGTAGTACAAATTTTCCCCAAAGATATGTTAACATGAACTATGTTGTATTAGTTTAGTAATAAATAAATCAATGAACTAAATCGGGCCCTAAAACATTAATTGCATTACAGATTATTTACATTTTAGATTATAGCTATCTGTACTTGTTCTTTTTTCACCAGCTACAGCCTTATCTTACTTGAAAAATTTACACTACTGTCATAGAATACTCACAAAAATAACTCACATATATATTCAAGATACAGAGACGTAAATCACGGTATAAGTGAAACAAAGCCATAAAAATACTGGAAATTTTTGGAAAGACTATAGTTTAGCCCTTGGGGTAGGAAGGACCTTTCTAAACATGACACAAAAGGCAGAAACAATACAGGAAAAGATTAATACCTTGACTATTTTGTCAAACTGTGGTAATAACTTTATAATCAAACTTAAGAACATAAATGATAGGCAGGCAAAAATGTTCCCAGTCAATATAAAGGGTAAAGATTGATATGTCACTGTTGCTTGAAATACCATACTACTCTCTCCAGTAGAGAATGTTTAAATATAGTTTCATATACTTTTGCAAAAGAAGCAAACAGTGCAGCCATTGGAAAGAGTGAAATAGTTATGTCCACTTTCTTGGGAAGTTTTATGCCTATAACTTTGTGCAGGTTTTCTTTAAATTATTTTTAGAAAACTTTTTTTTTTTTTTTAAGATTTGTTTATTTATGCAAAACTGGGGTTGCAGGCCAGAGGTGCAGGGATGGGGAGAGGATTCACCAGAGACAGAGTGGGGAGCAAAACAGGCAGATCTATGAAGTACACTGCTGAGGGGAGCAGAGGGCAAGACAGAAGAGGCCTGCTGTACCATGTGGATCACCTCTGGGATGGGGGGATCAAACTCACACTGAAGCGGCTGCAGTTAGCTTACAATGCTGCGCCTTAACCTGTTGTACCACCAAGGAGGACCCAAAACTTTTTTTTTTTTTAAGATTTATTTATTTATGCTTATAGAACTGGGGTACAGGCTAGAGGTGTGGTGAGTGAGATGATTGACCAGAGGCAGTCTGGGGAGCAGAACAGGCAGATTTGACAAAATACACTGCTTAAGGGAGCAGTGGGTGGGTCAGGAGAGGTCTGCCAGGCCATGTGGGTCACCTCAGGGGCAGGGATTGAACTAATACTGAAGTGGCTTCGTAGAGCTTCATAATGCGATGCTTTAACATACTGCGCTACCAGGGAGAGCCCCCAAAACTTGTTTTTTAATGATTTATGTTTTACCTTCTGAGGATAACTCTTAGATGTCTTTACTCTGGCTAGCTCTTTAAAGAGTGGACTTTGGTGCCAATTATGAGAAATAACAGTTTTAAAAATCAGAAATAGGGCCCTCCCTGGTGGCGCAGCGGGTTTAAAACACAGCACTAAGAAGCTTAAGCCACTTTCGCATGAGTTCGATTCCCAAGTGCCCTGGAGGAGATCCACCTGACGAGGCAGACCTCTCCTGACCCACCCGCTGCTCCCCTCAGCAGCGTACTTCGCCGATCTGCCTGTTCTGCTCCCCTCTCTGTGTCTGGTGAATGCTCTCACCCTCTGTATCTCAGCCTGTACCCCAGTTCTATATGCATAAATAAATAAATCTTTTAAAAAAATCAGAAATAGTTCACTTGGAAATGAAATTTGTGTTTCTTGCTATTTTATATAAGAGAAAAGATAATGAACATTCTAACTAAAAATCACAGGCTTTAGAGTGTACTGATCTGAACTTAAATACTGACTTCACATGTTTTTGGAAGTATGAGAACTTTAATTTATTCAATTTCTATTTTTCTTATTTGTAAAATGGGTTGACTACAGGTTATACCTCTTATTACTATATAAGGGTTAAGTAGGATGATGTATGTAGAAGTAGTTCATAGCAGATACTTAATATATGTTCTTATTATAAGTAAAGATCTATTTTCTTAAATGTTACTGTTAAGTGTGGAGTGCCCAATAACTTTAAAGCTTTTTTTTTTTTTTTAAGAAAATTTCTGTGGTTTTATTGTATCATGAGGCATTGAAACATATGAACAAATCAATATCTGGGCGTTGAGGCAGCTGCTTTCTCCTTCACTTCTTTGGGTTACTAGAGCAACTTGTCAGTAGATTAAAAAAAAGAGAGAGAGACAACCTTTTGCATTACTTAAGTCTTTCCAAAGCATGCGCTGGTACAACACAAACTACTCCTGTCAGATGCAACTTGTCTAGCGTCCAAACATCATGCACAACACCTTGGGGGCAGCAGCACATGCGCCCAATCCCATCACGGCTTGCTCATTTGTGTATGATATTTGGAGCATCTGGAGGAGTGTGAATAGTATCAGGAATTGGAGGGAGGAGGAAATAGCGTGAGTGCCTGGCAGGGAGGAGGTCAGCCGAAGTTGTGCAGGGCAAGCCTGAACATGTCATTGGTGCAAACCCAGGCATCGTTGATGTTCTTTAATAGGAACATCTGGTGGAACCCCATGATGGGGTCTTCATCCGCCTTGAGCTGGCCCACAACCATGCTGATGATGCAACTATCTGGCGTGGGCTGATGGTCCTGTGCCGTGATGCTGTGCTGGATTTTCTGGAATGGAAGGCTAGATAACTTCTCAACAATGGCAGCTTTCCCCTGGAATTGCTGTCCTTCCCACGTAAGGCATGATGCGTCAATGTAAATTGCGCTTAGCTGAGTTCTGTAATTATCGAATAACTGGTAGTAATGCTGAATGAAGCTGGATCCAATCTGTTCCCAAATTGGCTTGTCTCCCATTCTGGAGAGTCACTCGGCCTCGTTGAGACCTGAGGGGCTGGCACGATGGCGGCAGCAGCGGCGGCAACACAGCGCGGTCTGCCACTTTAAAGCTTACTTATGAAGAAAAGTTTTAGCAACAATTTGACTTGAGATGTGGATTTTTTAAATTCTAGGAAATAGTTGATTTTATTCGCAAGCTTTGCTTATGTCATATTACATAAAATGTTTGAATTGTGTCCCTAGGACTCCTAAGACCAGCCCCAGGTTAAATGATTTCCTAAGGGTTCACAGTTCTCAGTATATATTCATATTCATGGCTATAACTTATTTCAGTGAAAGGATACAAAGCAAAATCAGTGAGGGGAAAAGGGACATGGAGTGAAGTCCATAAGAAAACAGCTGCAAATTTTCAAGAGTCTTTTCCCAGTGGAGTCACCTGGACATGCAGGAACAAGTTATGACACATGTTGACATTTGTCTCTCAGAAAGGCTCACTAGAGACTCAGTGGCCAATCTATATTGGTCTACCACTATTCTGGATCCTAGAAGGAAAACATATTTAGCATAAACCACATTCCCTTTACAGATTAGGAACATTGAGCCACTTTCCTTAAGGAATGGTAAAAATCTTGAAATTCAAGTTCCTAGACACCAGCTAATAGACTTTAAAGAAGACTTTTGAATGAAAAGTCTCAGACACAAGTTAACTCTTTATTTGCAGTGTCTCTTCCACCACTTCACTTCTATCCTGAGATATTTTTAAATATGAAGCATTATCACAGTTCCTCAATGAGTAGTGAGTGCATGATAATGCAAGTATAGCTATATTATTAGTTACAGTGGTTTTGTTTGCTTTTAGAACTATATTTATTATTGTGGGGAAGAAATTAAAAAAAAAAAATCCTGCCCTTCTTATATAAAGCAAGCAAAGCTAAATTTTCATTTATATTGAAACTATATTTCAATTTGAAATGAAATTTTCAGGGCTATTTGACTTTTATTATTCTGCTTTTCCTAAAATGCAGGTGAAAGGTGAAATGAAGCCAAAAGGTACAGACCCAAGAATCTTATCACTAGCTGCTGAAGTTGCAAAAAGTCCTGAGCAGAATGTCCCTGTTATACTGTTGAAGTTAAAAGGTAAAATCTTTTTCTGGTTGACTAATACTATTTTACAAAACAATACCATCATGGGCACAGTTATAAAGTTTTTCAGTTACAGAACTTTTTTCTCATTTGTTTAGAGAAATCTTAATCTAATTAAGCACTGTTTTTTCTCTTTAATGTTATTCAACTTAAAAATACAAATAAGTCTTATAATTACAAAAATAAATATATCTTACTTCCTTTTGCCTCAGAAATAATAAACAATACACCTTTAGGAAGTTCAGAATTGAAGAAAATCAAACAAGATATATATTGTTATGACCTCATTCGATACTGCCTCTTGGTCCTCAGTCAAGACTGTTCTCGAATCCAGGGTGGTTGGACTACAGTTTCTCAGCTTACGCAGATATTAAGGTAAAATGAAGCAATAAATCAGCTTGTTTGTGAGGAATGTAGTGGTAGATTACAATTTTCAACAATTACTACTCCTTGATTTTGTTTTTAACAGGCATTTGCAGTAGGTTTTGGTTATACTCTTCCTTCATACTGTTACTATGTATAACTCTATATAGTTGTGAATATCTGTCTAAAAGTTCATAAACTCTACGAAGGTGGTAATTAAATCTTTTGCTTGCCACTGAATCCTAAGTGTTTAGTATATTCTTCATTGACCAAGGGGTATTTGAAGAAGCTGAGGCATTGACTCTACACTAGAGAAGCTTATATTAGAGGCAGAGTTTGCAGTCACGTGAATTAATCGGCTAAGCCAGAATGGAACAGGTGCTGAAATGAAAGGCATAAACAAAATAATAAGAGAAGGGATATAGACACTTCAGGATTGATCTAGCTTTTAACTGTTTTTTGTTTTTTCACTAAGTAATCCAAATCCTGTCGATAAGATTTAAAAACAAAATTGACTGATCTACTGCCATGCTCAAAATTAATGGAAAAGAAATAAAAATATTACTTTAAAGATGGCAGTAAAATAAACTGGTTGTTCTTAGTGCCTAAGGCACTTCCTAATTAGTAATTGAAAGTGCATTACTTATTGGATGTTAGCTTTTGCAACTGTATGTACCTAATCTGTTACTAAATAAAGGCCAAATTCCAAGTATACATTTACAAAATCAATTAATGTATTTGATGTGCATATATATATATATATATATTTTTTTTTTTTTAACTAATGTGAATCTAGCATTTTGTCTTTGTTTTAATTAGATTTGTTAACTTATGAAAAATTAATTGAACTAGGCCCTCTAGAATGAAATCCAAGTCTTAAGAAATCCCATGTTTGTGAATATACAGTAACCATAATTTCATTTATTAATGTTTTCAACCAAACTAGGTACTTTTAAATGATTAACTTTATGAACCAGAGAGAAAAAAAGCTGGTGTTTGTGAGCATTAGTACCTTAACTTTAGGAGTCAATGTGGGGAAAAAAAAACCCACAAAGCATTAAACATTAGCCATTTTGGTTTTTAGCATATGTAATATATCATCACTACTGCTTATCAGTGTCTGCATATTTTGTTGATAAGCCTCCAGTAGCTGTACTTAATCATTAGAATATGCACATAGAGACCATACTTGGATTGTGATTCTTTCTGGAATTGGTTCTATACAAATTTTTTTTTATTATTGAGGTGTTTTTTAGTGTGATCATTTTACTTCCAGGGGAAGATTCTTCTGTGCAGTTTTAAGAAGACCCAGCTTTTAAGATGCCTTTCTTTTAATGTGTACTGTAAAGTGTCCTTATTAGAACTAACTAGAATTAGGTTTTTGTTGTTTCCCATTCTGATAATAAGGAATATTCTGTCAGATATTTTGTATATTTTAGGAAGGATCTTTTGATTTTATACCGGCAGAATTGGTATATGATATTTAGCCTGTCCCTTGCTGACTAATCCTTCCTTGGGATTTCTCAGTTGTGTGATGTCTAAAGTATATCAGTTAACAAAATGTTATTCATCAGTTAAGACCCTTAAGATAACTTTTTGCACTTGGAGTTTGTGACTCTCTTTATTTTCTCTTTATTTTGAATCAAATATATTTCCTTCCAGTAGGATTAACAATTAGGTTTATGGCTATATGAGTCCTAGCTCTAAGTACAATGCAAAGCTGATACCACTGTTTACTTTTAGAAAGTTGTTAGATTAGTTTTTCATCAGCAGCTCTTTATTAATTTGGCCACAAGGATACTAAAAATTCTCATTTAAGACAGTGTCTATAGAAGTTTTAGCATCAGTTGGAACTTACAATAAATATTACAAAATCACAAATTTGTGCTCTTATTTTAGCCATTGCTGTGTTGGTCTTGAGCCTGGAGAAGATGCAGAAGAATTTTACAATGAATTACTTCCATTGGCTGCTGAGAATTTTCTGGTGTTGGGGAGGCAATTGCAGACATGTTTCATAAATGCAGCTAAGGTATATACCTTTATATAGTGATTTGTAGCCAAAACAATTTAATTCTTAAGATGTTCCAAATAATTTTTCAGGTGTGCAGTATTTAGCTTAAAATACATATTTTTTCAGTTATAACTCCCAAAGGTTTCTACATTTGAAAATTATAAAGTGCTGACTGAAACAAAACTTTTGAAAGACCTACCTTACTACCTCAAATAGCACACTTAAGTATTTCTTTTTTTTAAAAGAGTTATTTTTTTTATGTATACAGAACTGGGGTACAGGCCAGAGGGGCAGGGGCGGTGAAGGATTCACCAGAGTCAGAGTGGGAAGTAGAACAGAAATACCATCAAAGGACAGTGTTTAGGGGAGCAGCGTGCGCATCAGGAGAGGTGATCATGTGGATCACCACCAGGGCAGGGATTGAACTCACACTGAAGTGGCTACCGCTCACTTGCAGTACTGTGCCCTAACCCCTTACGTCACCAGGGAAGGCCCAAGTATTTATTTCTATAACACCTTCCTAAAATATACCTCCTACTTAAATTAACAGTACAGGAAAATACCTAAAGTCCTAAGGCTTTTCTCAAGAGGGGGAAAGAATAGAGGTGAATTTTCTATTTGATATTTGAAATCTTCTCTAGTTAAATATTTCAGCTGAAACAATAGGATTGTTTTAATCCAACAGAATTTCTTAGGTGAATTGTGCTAGGACTATATGTGACATTTTAAATTTTAAAGCCTTGGGTTATATGGAAGTGCATTGTTTAATTTCCATATATTTGTGCGACTTTTTATATTACCAATTTCTAATTTACTTCTGTATGATTAGATAACATACTCTATCAGTTCACTCTTTTGAAATGTTTTCACACCTGTTTTATGGCCTTCTGTATGTTTATCCTGACAAATGTTCCAATATAAACAGTCCTTGCTTAGAATGGTGCCATCTTTACTGATAAGAATGCATGTGTACCAGAACCATGCAAAGAACTTGAAATGTACAAGTTGGTCTCCCTTTCTGTCCTTGTTACAAACTGAATTGTTACACAAATCACTTGATTACACTGTACCTCAGTTTTCTCCTTTGTAAAATTATTTCTGTCTTGAAATGCCCAGATCATTACAAAACTTTGTTTTCTTCAAAACACTTTAATTTAATATTAACACTTGAAGGATAAAAATAATTATATAATTATATTCTTTTTACTTAGTTGGTCCTTTAAGACTTTTCATAATACTTTGCTTTATTGTATTTAATTTTGTTTTGTTATAGCTTCTCAGCTTTTTGGCTAAGATCAAGTGTAGTATCTGTTCTTATCAGTTTAATTTTTACTTTGTTATTGAGGTAAAAATATTCTTTATTCCACATTGGAGAAAAAAAATCAACTGTAGAAAAAATAGGACCACTTGACTACAGGACAAAATCAAAATTTGGATTTTTTCTTTAATTTGCTTGTGTATAGATTGATCAGTTGGTGGCATATATGCAGGATTTTTCTGGACTAAACTGGTTAGTAGTTAGAGAATGAAGGGGGTATATCAGATAAGCCACCTATTCTGTAATTTTCAATGATACAAAAGTAAATTTGTTAACCAGTCACAGTATGCAAGAAAATCTTGGGTGATATTATCTAATGGAATTTTTAAAGAATGTAGGAAGTCTGGGAGCCCAGCCCTGTCTTTTGAGATTGACTGCAGCTTTTTGCTGTGTCTTTTGGAGAAATTGACAAAGACACTTTATGGCATTAAACAAATTTTTAATCTATGACATTTCTTTTTTATTGTTTATAGCACATATTTGTTTCAACATTTCTCTAGCCCTGTGCTAGAATGACAAGTTATGTTCATTACTGTGAAGAATGGTCTGTTTTTTGCTTCTGATGTACTGCAATGCAGTCATTGAAGACATTGATAAGATTGATGACCTATATAGAACTTTCTACTAAGTTTCATGGCCAGAAAAATGCCAGTTTTTTTTTCCCTGTTGTATACATACTTTAATGTGGAATAATTAATCTGGCAGCCTACCTGTGTGGCATTTCTTTTCACAAACCTTTTCCTTTCAAAAAACAGCTCTGCCTGTCTTTGTCCTTTTCCTAATATACCCTTCTTTTAATATGTTAAAAAAAATAACTTTCAGAAAGGAAAAGCCAGAAAATTGAGAATTATTGAGAAAAAGTTGATTGAACATTAATTATCAGAACCTTCTTTAGACACTTGAGTATTTAGTGGTAAGCTAAATGGTTTCTGCTCTTAGGAAATCTTAGATTAGTGGCTTCAACTGAAATGCACTAATCATACTGGCTTACATACTGATATCTTTATTTGTATATTGCAGTGACTTTCTACCCTGATTACATAACCAAATCACCCACCTAACTGTAAAATTAGATGTCCAGGCTTCTTTGGTAATGGAGATTGAGATTCAGTGTGTTTAGACTAAAGTGGGTTTATGTAAAAACCTATGTCTATATGTTTATGTAAAAAACACCACAGTAATCAAAGCATAGCCAGTTTTGAGAAATACCTACTTTATTAACTTACAGCTTTTTCTATTATTTATATTATCTCATTTCACCTCTGGATAACAACCATTTCTAGCAGATCAAGTAGGTATTACTAGTTGTACTAATAAATAAGTTTTATAAAACTGAAAACTACAAGATTGTGTATCCTCTGATATCTCAAAGAAATGTCTTTCTTTTTTTTTTTTAATAAAGCAGTTAAAGGAAAGTAAATTGGGTTTTTATATGCATGTTAAGGGTGAAGAAAAAGATGAATTACTACACTTCTTCCAAATTGTGGCTGATTCTCTCTTCTGGCTTTTGGGAGGTCATGTTCAACTCATACAAAATGGTAAGAGAAAAGATCTTAAATGTAACTGACAGTCATAAAATTATCTACTAACAGTTTCATCTTACTTTATAAAAATACATAGTTCATTAACTGTTCAGATTACCATATTAAATAAAATCATAGTGAAGTAACTCCCCACAAAAATTGGACAGTCCAGCTTTACATTACTAACACAAGGGAAAATTGTTGCTAAAGTCTAGCTTTCTCCTTACCTTTTACTATTAGCAAATTTGAAATAATGATTAATGGCGTCTAACACTTCAGGGAAAGAAATTTTTTAAGTTTCAAAGATTATAGTTGTATTTTAGATACTGTGTGAGAGATTTCTATATTCAGAGTAACTATGGCTTAATTCATTGCTTAACTATTCATAGATGGATTATAAGCTTTTATAAAATGATATTTTACTGAATGTGAAAGTTAATTTATTAAAGATTATAGAATGTTTCTACACTTAACTTTTAGAAATATAAGTATGTTAGTTTCAATTATGTTTTCTTCCAGCTGAGAAAGTAAGGGCCTCCTTCATAGTGTCAGCACTATTAAGCTACTGGTAGCCACTGTAGCACAGGTTCAGTCCAGGCCAGGGAGCTGATCCACATGACACAGAAGACCTTTCTTCCTCGCCCCGCTGCTCCTGTCAGCAGTATATTTTAGTCAATCTGCCTGTTCTGCTCCCAACTCTCTCTCTGGTGAATCCTCTCACCACCAGCTATCTGCCACCCACCCCTTACCCTTGCGCCTCTGAAAAATAAAAAGGCTGATAAAGTAACCCTTAATCTTGTCTATTCTATCCTCTTATAATATTTAATCAAAATGCTTATAAATTAAGCATATGGTTTGCTTTTGTTTTGTTAAGGAAGTGATAAAATAGTGAAAAAAGATAGCAAGTCCTTAAGTGTTTAAGTATGCCATATCCTTTTAAAAATTTTTTAAATATTCTTTTTAAAAGTTCATTAATAATAAAAATGATAATGGTCTTAATATAATCTGTAGATTTAAAATTTTAGTAGTCACTAGAACTAGATATGAAATTCATATGCAAAAATTAATGAATACAAAAGTGAGGTTTCCGACAACTTTATTCCCTCATAAAAAAATCAACTCCACGAAGAAAGATCTGGTTATAGGTCTGAAGTAGAAAATATAAGATAAACCTGAAGTATCTTAAATACAAATAGAAAGGAAGCACTCAAAGTCCAGGAAAAGGGGAGGTTCTAGGTTCCCTGCCCAACCCAAAGGATGGTGGAGCTGAGCAGGGAGGATAATAAAAGATAGAGGAGATGAAAGAAGGAAACAAGATGGAGAGCAGAAGGACACCTGTGGGAGGCACATGGAGCAGAGAGACACACATGAAGAAGAGACTCTTGTTTCTTGGCCCTGGACTAGTTGAAACACAGTTAGGTGAGAGACCCTTGGGAAGGTTAATAGTGGCAGCTTTTATCTTGATTTTGGTTTTGTTCTTTTTCTCCCAGACTTGTTTGGCCATTTTTGATCCTTTTCAATTGTCCCCACCAGAAGGTACGTTAGACTTGTGGGAGGCTTTCAGGCCTTGCTTTGGGCCAAAACCATTTGGGTAGACTTTTACCCACAAGTTTCCAACTTTGTGTTTGGAAACTATAGAAACTATAGATTTAGAAACTATACTTGTCTTTTCTGTATTGTTTACTAACTGTATTAAAGTTCTTTTCCATTAAAGATCTTATAGGTTTTGTCTTGATGTAACAAATGGCAGAACTTATTTAGAGCAGGCATGTTTGGAGGTTCAGGGGTGCCCCTCTCCCTGCCCTGTAATATTAGGATTCTGTGAAAAGGACTCAAGAGATAATACAAGAGGCTTCAGCTAGCCAAAGATGAGAAATTTGAATAGTAGTAAGGATAATAACTATAATGTATTGAAACAAATAAAATATAGCATCAGCTATTTTAAATATTACTCTTCTAGACACTGCTAAGGAACAAATTCATTTTTAAAACTGGTGAATGCAGTAGATGACTGGATTAAAAAGATGTGGTACATATATACAATGGAATATTACTCAGCAACCAAAAAGAGAAACACATGTCTTTTGCAGCAACTTGGGTGGAGCTGGAAAAGATCA